TCCAGGGATTCCTCCCACCCCAAAGGTGCCAGGACCTAAAGCTCTTGCTGCTCCGCAAGGACCCAGGCAACCGCATTCCAACCCAACAAGTGCTAGCGGTGCCTCTTTCGCAGCCTCCCAGTATCCAAGACAATCTCTCTGCCTGTGCCGCTGAGTAGAGCCGGAGCCCAGCTCAGCAATTTCGAACGTCCAGGGATTCCTCCCACCCCAAAGGTGCCAGGACCTAAAGCTCTTGCTGCTTTTCAATGGCCAGGGAACCCCATTCACAGCCCCACAAGCGCTGGTGCTCTCTCTTTCTATAGCCTCTATAGTCTTTTTATTAACGTTTTTTTTTCGATATGACATACTCTTGCTCCTCTATTAATCTTCTTGGATTTTTTTTTTTTTTTTTTCTTTTCCTTTACTGTCCCTGCCTTTTTTTTTTTTTTTTTTACGTTTCCTTGACTGTCCATGCAGCAGCTGTATCACTCCAAATCTGTAAGCACTTTTCCAGTCTCACATCGCTCTTCAACCATCCTGCTTCTCCTGGATTCCCTTTCCGTCACTTCCCAAATCAGCCAAACTTTTTCCTTTTGATTCAGTATAAAAAAAAAAATTAAAAAAAATTAAAAAATTTTCCAATCGTAATTTGAAATGTTTGAACCCTTGAGCTTTTATTTTGTGAGCAGAGAAACGATACTACCAGGAGAAAACTGGACAGCATCAAACTTGACTCAGAGCTCAGGGGAGGGCTGGTGGGGGTAGTAGTCAAGGCCATGGCGTGGAGGCCAGCTGGTGTTTTCAATCCTGCTGGTGAGAGGAAAAGCAATTGGAAAGCAACTAAAAGCAAGCAGGGACCTGACATGCACTCTGGAGGTCCCCAAAACACACCAGAAGGCATGCAGAGGCACATAGGCTTCAGTGAAAGACATTTGGAGGTCCTCTAGCTATACATAAAGCACTGGAAGTGCCCTGGACAAAGCAGGTAAGACATAGAAGCGTTGTTGCCCAAACCTAATGCTGACTCTAATCCCAAGACACCCATAGTGGTGTACTAGTAAGTTCTGCTATACATCATCACCTTCAGAAAGCCTTTTGGTGTGCTTCAGGCATATCTGGGAGTTGTTTCAAGTGCACGAGAAGCATGTCAGGGGCTTTCTGTTCCAGCTACCTATTCCTAAACTGAATCTTTACCATCACTGTTACCATAAACCACCTGCAGTTGTCTATGAATGCCTGCTGATGGCCCTGCACCATGGCCCTCTTAGTGCCTTTTAATGTATCCCAGGAGAAGCCAAGAGCCATTTGGAGTGCACCAGGGGCATCTGATTACATTTCTCTTCTCCCCAGTGATCTGAGAATGCCTTTTCATGCACTTCTTGATATGCTGTGCCAATCTAGCACCTTCAGCTGCCTTCTGGTCAGTCCACAGCACCTCCAGGTACCTTTCATGGTACCTAAGGGCCCCTGGTGTGCTCCCAGGGTACCTCTGAGTGCCTACACATAAACCTAATCCTAACCCAAAGTCTAAACCTACACCCACACCCAGTGGTCTGTGGGTGCCTTCTGGTGCACAGCATTCCTTTCCAAGTGCCTTTTGGTGTGCCCCAGCAGCATTTGAGAGCCATCTGAAGTTCACTGGGTCATCTGATTATCTTTCTGTGTTCCCTCTGTTGCTGTGGTTGTAGTTGCAACTACAGGGATTGGTAATGGCTGCTTTCAGCTTTTGCTGTTTATAACTTTATTTTGCTTTGTCTGAGAGAACTATGATAAAAGGATAGGCCTTGAGCCTAGTCAGGTATTTGGGCCCTGCATCACTGCTGTCCCAGTCTGAGCAACACAGATGTTGATTGTATTGTAAAAGAATAGTTTACATATGCTTAAATAAAACCATTCTTCTGATACTCGACAAACACTTTAGGTCTTAAACAACATTTACAAAACTAAACAGAGTGTCCAAAAAAGGGGCAGCTTTCTGACAGAAGGAAAAAGTTTCTATTGAGCACCTAAACTAAATTGTTCAACAGTTTTAAATTAAAAACACTTAACAGTTCATTTGGTTCAGAAAAGCAGATTTTATTTTAAGCAGCAGCACATACAACATTTTCAAAATATACATATTTGAAAACAAGAGACTGCACTTCATTAACCAGCTTGCTGCGGTTTATCAATTGTTACAATTATATTTGCAACCAGGTGGAGTTACTGCATCATAGCCTTCCTGGGTGTTGGATGCTCTTAGGTTTCACTGGTATAATTGTGCAATATACTATAACTGCTAGTAGCTCACAAAAAAAAAAACCCACACAACTTGTCAATTTAATGTTACCGTCACCTGGAAGCTTCAGCTACCTGACTAAGTATTTTAAATACAGAAATGTTATTTAAAACAAGTGTGTCAAATCATCAACTTCAGGGAAACACTTTATGCACATAATATACGAGGTTGTATGCCTTTCTGAATGAAGTTTCCTGAACCAGGATTAATCCCAGCAGAAGCAACATAGCAGCATTTTGGTAAGGGAGAAAGCCAACTTTTCCTAAAACCTTTCCCTTTTATTTAGATGCAGTACAATGATTAAAATCATAAAAGGTTGCTTACATTTCTAGATGTTTAAAAATACCATTGCATTACCATCTTTTCTTCTGTTTCACCACAATTTAACAAGTGTCAGAATATGCTACATATAAATATCCTAACCCATCCACCATTTATTAATTCACTGCAGAAATATTGTCTACATAAATCTATCTTCTTCAAATATAATTTAAATATAACTTTTTAATAGAAAAAACAGAACACATCATCAGAAGATTCAGCTTGCAGGTAATTTTCAATGCACTAGAACTCTTAATGAAGCTGCTCAAATTATGGCAAATAACTTTGTTTTCTCATTTTTTGAGGGGTGGGGGGTGCGGTTTGAACAAAACACACAAACAGGTTAAGAATAAATGGTGATCACTTCACGTCCACTGCCTCGGACCAGGAGAACTCTATCCAGACCTTCTGTTAGAACTTCTAAAAACTCCATGTCTGAAATATGAAGTCAAGGAATTTATTCAGAAATAAAAATAGCCTCTGATCTCTCAAAAAGCCTGACATATAATGCAGAAACCAAGTTCAACAAGTTCGTCAAGGAGTTTTCTTGCGTCACCCTTCACCATCCCATTATGTAATCCACCTGCTTCCTCAAGTGGAAGCAAGGCCTAATTTGGGGGAAATTTCTAGTTCTGCTCTACTCACCTACAGAAAAGATAAAAATAGAGATTTTAAAATAAGTTCAAAATTGAAGAATACTTTATATCAATTCAATAAAAACCTCCACCACTACCAACATTTCTTAAAACTGTTTGAGGAAAAGTTGTTTTCTTAAAGGCAAACTTATGCTTACCATCGTTAACTAATGGTTATCCTGACAAGTAGACAATGGCACAACCACAAAAATCAAACCCCCAATTTCAAGAAATACGAAAGCAATATAGTAGAGGATACAGTTTTCATCCCCTTTTCTGTTTTTAGGGGGTCCAGGCATATTCAGGAGAACTAGTTGAGCATGCTGTGATTTATTAAGTACTACTCCATTGAGCTTCACAGCGGTGTGCATTCTTCTCACATTTGACTGATTCCTAGCATGCAAACAAACATTTTTAAGTATTGTCACAAGACTTACAATTCAAATACATGTTATGTACTATGTATTTATGAATTTATAAATTTAATCTACATGCATGTAGAATAAGCTATTTTCATGGACACCAGTATTTGTACACATTCAAAATAAGTTGGAGAAAATACAATACCTAGGTTTAAAAGGTGGGTTTTTTTCCTTTGAAAAGAACGTTTAACTCAAATTCAAGAAATTCTAAGCAGATTGCCAAACTGCAGAAATCTTCCAGTTGTTAGTTATCTTTCACAAAGATGAAGCAAAAATTTCCTTTCAACAGAAACTGATTTCCTTTCAACAGAAACTGATTAGTTGAAAACACTGAAAATCCAGTTTATTATAAAAAGAAGTAACTGGATTTGTACAAGAAACACAAAACAAAGGAATTACAATAATGCATTGGAAAGTTTACAGTATTTATGTTGTACAGTGCAAGATTTCCTTCATCCTCCTTTGGAAACATTACAAGATTACTATAAGCCTGGTGAAGAAAATACAGAAACAGCATGGAATTTATGAAAAAATTACTAGTTTCTCATGTCATAAGAGTAAGGCAGTAAGCAATGAACTGAAATTGAGCCTCTCCCCAATATTAACTAATGCTTTGCTTGTCGTGTCCACAAATATGATCGTTGTAATTTTGTGTGCAAGAGGAATAAACTACTAGGACTTCAGAGATTTCCTTATTTTAGGATCTGCCTTGGGTGATCGAGTTGCTCTTCAGAACAAAACAGAAGACCAGTTTCCTTATCATTCCTGAGAAACTGCCATCTGTGTAAAACTAGCCAGGACTGGAAATGAGTCATACACTACAATGCAACAGAAATACCCAGACTCTACCTAAGCCCATTTATCCAAAAGATCCACTGCCCAAAAGCAGATTCTTTACAAGTGAAGCGAGTCACTTCAAAGGGAACCTCGGAAACACAGGGTGCCAGCATATCTCAAGAACGGAGATACTGGTATGCTGATATAAGACACATATCACTCCATTGTGTGCAATTTTCTAGCACTGTAACTAGTGGTCTCACAGTAAAAGCACAACTGTACCCTGCTCAGCTGGGCTCACATACTGTCCTATGGCAGAGAGAGAAGTGGCAGGTTAGTAGCAGCAGGACATAAGACATCCTCTGAAGTGCCTGATCAAGTCTGGCAATTTTTGAATTCCACTAACAGCAATCAAAATTACAGGACAAACCCCAGCACTGTTTCAGCTCAAGTAAGCAACAGAAATTAATGAGATCTCTTTTCCCAGAAGAAAAACATTTAGGAGGCCAAAATTTACAAAAGGAAGCGCTCAACTTTGTTCTACTACCAGAGGTCATTCCAGGGGACTACACCAACACTTAGTCCTAGAATTTTCTAGCAATGCAAGACCACCCTCAGATTATATAAATAAGTGTGGAGCTGAGAACAGCAGCCAGATACCGGTTCATTCAAACACAAGGGACCAAGAAAGATGGAGAATGCTGGGAGAACACGTACTTGTGTTCTACTAAGTCCCATTTTTTTTTTTTTAGTATGAATGGAAAAGCTGTTAACAGGATATTATATATTATATATTAAAGACAAAATGCAGGGGAAATATGGAAGGTGTAAATCTGTGATGGAGTGGGCAAGAATTCAGCACTGAAATAGAGGCTCAAATTGACTAAAAGTAAATTGTGTACAATGCGAACTGAGGCTGACTTCATTTAGCCTTCAATCACTAGTAGAACTGAAATCATACATGGTACACAAAATAAGCTTTCTAATTTTTCATGAGCTGCTCAATTTTTTAGATAAAATGAAGACAACACTGGGCTCTGAAAAAAAGCAGAGCAGTCACAAGTCAGTTCCACCCAAGAACAAACAGAGATGTAGTGTCCCATTTTTGTATACTGTCATACCCAATGTATATCTGAACTTATGTTATTCCTACACATGCATGGGTTGGTAGAAGGGAGGCAAGAACTGGCATTTGATGAGATGTGAAAGTTCCCTTTGTGAACAAATTCATCCTTATTGTCCAAGTACTTATATCACAATGGGGGCTATTTTTCCAGAACAAAAAATATATTCACATTTAAATGTAGTTAATTAGAAAGCTAAATATTACACCAGTGCAGAGGAGTACTGTCAAGTTTTACATTCTTACAGAAACTAATATATGTTCTGTGACTTACCTTGAACAGAACATTGATAATATTTAGAAGTAAACATTAACAAGTCACAATGAAGAATATTTTTCAGTGAAAAATGCTAAGTCACAGTATATAAAACAAGGTACAAAAGAATACACATACTGCAAATCATGATTTAGGAAACACACATGGAATACATAAGACCACAAGAACCAGGGAACACAGCCTACGTTGTTTAAGTGAAATGAAATTTAGACTTACAGATTTCCCCATTCTCTACACGGAAGGGAAGCAAATGCATAGAAAAAAATATTTATGCCATCAGGTACATTTTTAATACCACAATATTAATATATTGTACAGGCACACTAAGTTTGAACTGTAATTTCCACCCCCAACCACATATAGTAGTTAAAATAATATTGGAAGTCTGTGTCTTGCACAATTCTAAAGAAGTAATAGGAAATATTGCCAAGATATTAACAAAAACAGCCCCCCGAGAATTAGAGTATAATGCAGCCCAGAACAAAAACAGCGCTTTAGAGTGTGAGCAAGACAATGTTTGGAATTTGCAGAAGGCAAACTGTTTCTAAAGAGCTCAGAGCAAATCCACAAAACAACTTAGGATTTTAAGGTGCTGATTCTAAATGTACCTTCTAAAATCTAGGACTTGTAGACAGTAGAGTAAGATGTGTTTCCTTTATATATTAAAATTTCCCTTGACATCCACAGTTTTGCTTTGGGCATGTGCAGAAAATAGTCTAGGCCATGCTTACAACTGCATTCTTCCAGAACTCAGAAAAGATGCACATGTGTGCTTGAATCATAACATGAGGAAGCAAACAAGCTGATGCCTTTCTGACATTGGTTTTGTGTCTACTGCATCAGGCTTGACACAGGCAGTAGCTCTTACCTATTAAGTGTCTTCTATTTAAGAGAAAGACATTAAGGAATATTTCAACAGGAAATACTTAATATAACAAAATGTACATATAATCACAAATTTTATATTGTTTTAATTTACAGGATGACGGCTGCACATCCATTTAAAAAACAAAACAAAAACAAACCCCAAACCAAAGAAATTCCACCCAAAACATAAGCTAAACATCTTGAAAGAGCCTATCTGCTTCTTTGGTACTCCCTCCACCCCAACGAAACACAATAAATGAGATAAGGAAATGAGTAATTTGTTACCCACAGGAAGAGAGAAAAACAAAAGTTATTATTAAGCATTTTAACATATATGCTTTCTGGTACAGAAGTTGAGTTTACAGCTCAAAGTCTGTCATATTTAAGCTTCATTCACAATATTCTTGTGAATGACTCTTTACAGTCATTGTTCAACCCAAGTCCAGGCTAGTTTCATAAGGATGGTATTTAAGTGAAGTGCATGGAAAGATCATGTTTGTACTCAGCTTTAAATAAACCAGAATCTCTTAAAAAACAAAACCCAGAACAACAACCACCACCACCACCAAAAAACCACACACTAAAATACACACAATCAAATACAAAACTCCAAACACCGCGTGTATACTTACGGCTTCATGTTGAAAATATCTTTGAAGCCAGACACATTTGAATCTTTGTTTTTATGCTTTTCAGCTACAAACTTTTCCTTAGTCCAGGTCATTTGCACTTTTTCCGGCACAGCAGCAGCCACACTTGCTTTGACCACTGGAGCTGAGTGCGAGGCAGTGTTTCGGTCATGGATCAGCTGAGCCTGGCCACAAAACAAACAATCACCCCAACATTCAGCCAAAAAGAACATTTGTGGATTACATATTATTAAAATTTTGAAAAGCAATTTCACAGCAGTGTAACAAAAGAAGATACAGAAGAAGACACCTTACTTTTTGAACAAATAGCAGACTGTTTTGACTTCAGCATGAAATGAAACTGCTTGTGAAAATGCAGTTATTTGTTTATATTTTCAGGATTACATCTGGGCTGGGACATTATTTTTGTAATGAACTAAAGTGAGGTTGAATCCAGCCTGAGGGTACTTTATTAACACCAGGGGGGTTTGCCAGTGGAAAACTTGAAGGCCAGTGCTCTAGTTCTTCATCAGTTACATTGTTATTTTCTCAGATACTGTTGTAAACACTGTCCGCTTCACATACCTTTTGCTCAACTACCAGCGTGACTCTCATGATGCCAGTAACACAACATTGGACTGGTGGAACTGAATGGAATCTATGTTCCATTAGATTATTTATGCATGCAAGTGCACATTACATAACAAAAGCCAATCAATCTAACCATGAAGGGACCTTCTCTTATAATAGCAGAAACTCAAATCACAACTTTAAGAACGCAATATTGTTGCTCCCACATGCATATGCACTTCTGTGTTCTCCATTTCCCATTCCCCTTGCTCCTCTTGGGGAAAGAAGGAACAAATATTTAACACGTTATTTATTTAATTACTTTCCCTCATAATACTTTGTCCATAGGCTTCTGTATTTCCATCAAAAGCAACACAAATACAGTACCTTAGACTCTTAAAATCCTAAGTGAATTGGTATGGGAGAGAATTGTTCTTGTGTTTTGGGGCATTCTGTTTTGTTGGTTTTTTTTGTTTGTTTGTTTTTAAAGATCTTTAGCAGTTATGAAGTTTCTTCAGAGACTTCTTTAATCATGAGTTGAAGCTCATTTTCCATTTGGGAACCTCAATTATTCACATGTTAGTGATGGTCATGTCCCTCCATATATGTGATGATTCAGAAAAATCAATTTCATTCAGGTCACAATCAAAAGCATGAATAAAATCAAAGCAGATGAGAAAAACTACTTAATCTCTGAAGAGCGATTCCCCTAGTGGTTCACAAACTGTAATTGCAGCTGGTTTTAAATGCTTAAGAGCTTCTGTATTTTTTCCAAATTATTTCCCTAGTCCCTATTCTTGAGGATTCCCAAATCCTAGAGTTCAATTCTGAGGTTCACATAAATATCTATTTGTTTCACGGTCTTCATATCTCACCTGAAGATTAAATCACAAGACAAGACTACGAACCAGAAGTTACTGTGAATACAGTTCTATCATGAGAACGGAAAAAGCTAACAAATACATGCAGAAACTATACATGCCATACAGCAGTATCCAATGAACCAAAATTTCAAACTAACAGCTGTAAGATGAATTCAGCACAACTATGCTTCAATGGAAGAAAGTTCACCATTTTTAGAAAGACAGTGAGGCCAAGAGAAATTCTGGACCTATAGCACACATTTATAAAATGCAAAGACAAAAGCACACTTTTCTTAGTGCTATTTTGACACCAAATTAATTACATGGAATACCACACATTTTTCTCATACTTCATGAAGGGAAACACAAAGGTATACAGCATTTCTAAAAACTAGGCTACACATCTTTAGATATGAGCAACATTTCAAGTGCACACTAAAACCATTTATTACATCAGTCCATTTCCTTCTAAACTTACCCTGCAGAAAATAGTAATGACATTTATGGGTTAATAATGGCTTGTCAATAAGCATAGAAATCGCCTTACAAAGCCCTAGTATATCTATACGGTCTCTGAGAAGCTTCAGTACTTCAATATGGGAACTATAAAGAAAGGCAATGCTTCGTGTAAAGTATGAAATATGCTTATTAACGAAACACCCATTATCAAGACTTTTTAAGAGACAGAAGGCAGAGAACTATCTTTGCTTCTGGCTCTTAAGAAAAACAGGCACTCAGAAACATAAGAGTTTCTTTTATGAAAAAATAAGTGTGAGAAAAACAGGATGTAGTTGACATCACAGAAGCATCATCTAGAGAAAAAAATACAGGGTAAGATAATGAATTCAGAAAAATAGTAAAGTTAGAATTTATGAAGAAGTGTTTCATAACTATTAATGATCAAGTTGTTCATTTTGCAGTTCAGTTTGCAATAGCGGCACTTCAAGTGTTGCAACAGAAAAATATATCTAGCCAGTACTACGTCCAACTACCTCCTCCTCTTGATAATCATTAGTCAGCAGTGCCTGTGCATCTTGGCCAATGGACTGTGGACTGGAGTAGCTTTTTCTTCTGACTGAGCCTCGAGACTCATCAGTGATGCTCTGAATCTGGGATAAAAATGTTACCAATGACAAAAAAAAGTCTACAGAAAAAAAGCAGATGATCATATAATTAAAAATAAAAATCGTCTTCATTTTAATAGATGAGATTTGGTATTGTAGCTTGTTATACACTTGGTTTGTTTTCACAAACATGCCATTTGTTTATATATACTATATAAAATACTACATATATATATATATACACACACTCTTTTTGAAATGTTTAGCAGTTAGTTATGAAGTGTCTTTACAGAGATTTGTGAAAACATGAAGTGAATTGAATCCTTTAGTCTATATGGCAACCTCAAATACTCGTTTGTGAGGGTCACATCCCTTCATATATGTGATTATTCAGATTAATTCATTTTATTCAGTTACAATCAAAAGTATGAAAAAAATTAAGCAGATGAGAAAGCTACTTTCCGACTCTAAACACTGATTCACAAACTGTAACTGTGCTCCTCACCTACACGTACCCATGTTTCTGCCAATCTTGCCTAGCAGCAGCAATCTGCACAACAGCAGTTGCGCTGCGCCACCCAACGCAAAGTACTGGCAGAATGGATGACTGCCTTCTCACAGCTCCAGCAGTATTACTGCCTGGCCCAACAGTAATTAGTCAGGACTAACCAGAGAAGGAAGCCAACAAGGGCAGCAAGGAAGCGAATGAGGGTCTACATTTTCTTTCATCTTTGCATTACTATTGTCAAATAAATAAATGTTTGGCTGTTGCACCTAAGTCTACAGATCTTATGTGTTGCAGGCATGTGTTATATTTACACTTGAATAGAAGCGAGTCAACCAAGTTTCTCAAAAAAGGAAACAAAAATCTGATGAGTCCCCATGCCCCAGTTCCACAAGAAAACCCAGGGGAAAGATCAAATAAAGTTCCATTTAAAAATGTGACAGATGAGGGGAGTGTGAGAATGATTCCGCAGGGATAAGAGCATGCCTATAAGGGAAACAGCAAAAGAACACTGTACAAAAACAAATTCTCTTCTTTGCAAAGGTTTGGACCTCGTTTGAAGAGTTACAAGCACAAAAATGAGGATAAAATACTAATCTTCGTGGCAATAGGAAACAAAACTACAAGCACCATTCAAAGCTAGAATATCAGGCTTATATTTGAACGTCTGGAGACAGATAATGAAAAGAACGGCAAGCTAATTTGAACTAGTGATACTAATGAAATAAACGTTTTGGAGGTCATCATAAAACTGGAGGGGATTGCTCAGCTCATTTAAGAGAACGTGCTCAGATTAAGAAAGAGCCTGGCACACTGAGTGCATGTACTCAACTTGCAGCTCCAGCGGAAGCGAAGACCTAACGAAACAACATTTTCTGATGAAAATAAAGAAGAACAAGGTAGATTAAGATATCCTAATCAAAAACAACATATGGATATGGCTTTTATTCTTGGACAAGGCAGGAAATAAGTATTAGATATTCTTGGAATTATCAAGAATTTTACTTTGGACCGTGAAATAAATTCAATGGTATTTTGAACATCTCCGATTTTACCCTGCCTGCTATGAAGGAACAAACTGAAGCTATAATGGTGATGGTTACATTCAGATGAAAGTGAGTAATAAAAAAGAAAACCGCACACACAAACATGGTGGGGGAAGAAGAAATGAAAACTCCCAAGCAAACAACACTCTGAGGTAGTACAAATTCTGACCAACTCAGAGCTGAGAAGAAATTATTTTGTCTCCACTACAATTTATATGCTATAGACTACAGAGCCTTATGTCCTTGGGCTACTTGTAAAGCATCAATGAGGAAGTTAAATCCTTAAAAGCCTACTGTAGAATGATTAACCACTGAAACGCCACTGGAAAAAAAACAGTGTTCGATACAGAAATAAGACAAATTTAAAAACGGTGAGTAAGGAGTACAGGAGAGCTTGATTTTTACTGAAAAGATGTTAGGCAGGCTCAGATCAAAACAAAACCACCATGACACAGATGAGAAGAAAGAGGATTTACAGCAGCACAATGTTGTAGCACTACAAGGCGTCTTTAGGAACCTTAAAAAAAAAATCCTGAGAAATGGAAAAAAAATAAACAAGGAGAGATTTGGGAAAAAAAAAAAAAAAAAAAAAAAAAAAGGAACCACATAGAATTTTAGGATTAACACCAAAAAGGCTTAGGCATAAAACGAGTTTCAATTATCAGTAGACAAAAAAAGCCACAAGAAAAAATTCTAGTTATTTTATGAACGAGCAGTTAAACACCATAGAGATCTCTTATTTGGCATGGGAGGGAAATCACTATAAGTGATAGCAAAGCCAAAGTATTTAATACTTTTTACATCACTAAAAAGTGTTGATAATAATGGGATAGTTAATAGAATAAAGGAAGGGGTAGAAGCACAAGCCAAAAGAGAAAAAGAAAAATAGTTAAAAGTTACAAACATTCATAAAAATACAGCTGCATGAAGCTTGTCACTACAACGTGCAAAATACCACCACGGATTGGTGAGGGTAGGGGAGCAGCAAACGTAGCATTCCTATCTGGATATCATAGGATCATAGGTTAGTCAGCCTAATCTTGCCTCCAGAAACAACAATTAGTTGATATATAAGACATTCAAAATAATGCAGAAGCTAAAAAACAGTCAGTGTGAATTGAACAAGACCAATAATCATGAACCTTAGCTACTGATATATGTCAAGTTTGGAAATGCTCTGGATATATGCCCCACTGATGCTCAAATGTTTTGCTAGTAAATACCTGCACTAATCTTAACAAGAACAGGAAAACTCTATACATCTGTTCAAATAAAAAAGGATTTTTTTTCCCCGCCCACATTATTTTAACCTTGCAAGTAAAACCTACTGTAGAGAAGCTAACATAGAATGCAATCATAAAAGCTTTTGACTAGTTAGAAACTGATCAGAAGCCACGGCCAAGAAATACCACTTTCAGATTTTTCACAGAACATCTTGCCAATCTGAAGTCCCTACCTCTCTTTC